CTGGTGAATTAGTAATGTAGAAAGGGGAAATGAATTTGACTTATCTGTGAAAAAGTAACACTAATTACAGTCATTTTCATGACCATTTATGCTTAATTACCATGCAGCATCATGTGTATCATTAAATATGTACTGTTAACTTGTACATAAGTTGTCTTGATTCCCATCACCGTCTCTGTCACTTAGATACACTGCTAAATGTTCCTACTACTTCAGGGGCTATCAAGAGGGACCTGACTCCCTGCAATTCCAGTATTGCCTGCAAGGTTCTATTGACAGTTACTCTATTTGAGAAAACGGTCTTCTCAGTCATACCCCAAAGCAGGGAAAGTACAAAGGATCTGAGGTCTTTGCCTCTCTTTTTCCACACTAGATAGTCTCCCTAGGGCCAAGGAACTCACCTTCCACAACTAAAGGGACACACACACACACACACACACACACCCCCCAAGAGACAGTGACAAAGAGATGCAGAGAGAAACAGAGAATGATATGCAGTCCAACAGAGAAGGAAAGAGTCAGAGAGAGACATAAGAGATCGGGGAGCAGAGAGAGGAGGAGACAGAGAGGCAGATGTAAAAAGTGGGGTGAAGACACAGAGTTCAAGGAGGAGAGTGAAATCAGAGCCCTTAAGAGGGGCTGCTTGTTTTCTCTGATTCTTCATGGGACAAAATATTTCCCACAAGCAGACCCCTGCCAACTGTAGGGCCCCTCATTACTCTGATTAGTGAAAAAACAGAAAGAAGGGAATGAAAAGAAAAGGGTCAGGGAGAAGAACAGTAGATAAAGTAACAGAGAGATGAGGACAGACAGGGAGGGGTTAGAGAAAAGGACGAAGGGTGTGAGGGGTTAGTGGATCTGCTGAATGCTCAACAGTACCCACCAGGTTTAAAGGAAATGGAAACACCGAAACACGGGCGACACATTTGTGTCCTCTCTGTTGCGATAAAATTTCCAAGTTATTAAATTTCCAAGTTATTAACTCATTTCTGGGACATTTACCTTGTACCTGGAATCAGACTAAGTGCTCTTACTTATATTCACTCAACCAGTCCTCAAAATGACACCATGCGGCAGGTACTATCAAGGTGTCCCTATTATGAAAAAGGAAACTGAGGTATGTAATTTGTGCAAAGTCCCCCAGGTAGTGAGATTCAGATCCTGGCATCTGGCTTCAGCACCTGTGTTCTCAACCACCATGGTCACTGGCAAAGCTAATTACATGATAAATAGTTAAGGTATCATTAATTTAAAACACTCGTTTAATTATAGCTATTTCAAATTAGCTTAAAATACAAGTCAAGCAACATTCTCAAGAATAAAACATTTCGTTTCCATGAAGGCTTCAATATCTTGTCGGTTCAGCAAGAGAAACAGGGGCAGAATTCTAGTGTGATTGAGAGAGAAGTAGAAGCCTTGAGGATTTAATGACTTCATGCTTCTCATGCAATGAGGTGGGGCAGGCTCCAGGGTCCCACCTCCATGAGTCCCACATGTTGCAGCGAGTTGAAGTTCAGTTGAATTCCCTTTGAGAGACCTTGACTGGACAGAAATTAGGTTCCTCGGTGACTCTGATTTCCCCTGTGAATACTCATAAAAAAAGATCTTCACCAGCTTTTTAATGTTAATAAATAATGATAATTTTGAAAGAATCATTTGATTATCATCCTTGAAGATTAATTGGATAATTAATTTTAGCTAAGTGCTCATGAAATATAAAGTGCTATATAAAGCAGAAGGATTTATGTTCTCATGTTCTCATCAGGCCTACAGAGCAGAAATTCTTTGTGAAATGAGAAGCTGATTATGAAGGCTCCTAAGCAGGGCTGATTCACACCAAATTGCACCGACCCCTCCTCAGAGAACTCACTGAGAAGGCAGATGATTTTCAGGGTCATTTTTACTAACCAGACTGAGACCTCGAGCATTGAACTGCAAACCTAAAGGAATTGACAAAAGAGGGAATTCAACTTCCAGGTTATTCAGTTGCAGGACATCCATGACTCACACTGACTTTTTAAACTTTTTTGGGACAGGTGGTGGTACAAAGGGCTTCTTATGTTCATGGAACACTTGTCAACCCAAGAACCTGGGGGATCTTGATGTGACTCAAAACCCATTTGATAGCTGCAGACTTTTGAACAAATTGACAACTAATAATGAAAAGGGGGCAAAAAGGTGACTGCACTGGTGTAGGATTAAGAGCATGAATTTTGGAGTCCTACAACCTGGGTTTGAATCTGTCGTAACTTTACTAACTACATGATCAGAACGTTACCATCTTCTATGCAGCTAACTCCTAAATTAAACTTCTATTTATTGTATAAAACCGACTGTGCTAGAACCTTTAGAACATTTTGATGACTATGGCAGAGTAAGCGTCAAAGATGTGTCCACATTCTATCAATAATCCCCAGAAGCTATGAATATGAATGGTTAACTGGATGAGGGAGGAGTCTGAGTAGCTTCCAGATTGGTTCTGGTGATGAGGTAGAAGATGGTGCTCTTCACCGAGATGAAAAACATAAGAGGTTTAAGGATGTAGTTGCTGAGTTCAATTTTGGACATGCTGACTGTTGAAAATGACAATCTTTCAGAGTCTGTTTTCTTTCCTATACATCTTATTGAGTATGCTAAGAAAGCAAGGCCCTGACCTCTACCCAGGCCATTTCTCAGGCTGGTTTTTACAGTGGGGGACCAATGCTGTGACAAAGAGGTGGCTTGATCACTGCTTGCAATAAAAGAGATTCTTGAAGTTCAGTGTATCCCTTTCCAGTAACACAATCCACTGAGTGTGTAAACATCCATCTGCTCCTGTTTCACCCTTGTGGGATTTGGGGAATGACAGTAACTTATGTCAACCTGCTAATACTCAAGCTACTTGCTGTTCTGTGAGTAATGACTTTTATTTTTGCATTTTCATTTTGGTTATATTCCCCATACAATTACAATTTTCACCCCCCTTATTTTGACCCTAATCCCTCCTCTCCTCCCCCATTCCCATAGTGTGTCTCTGGTTTATAGTTGCTTGTTGATTTTGATTTTTAATTTATTATAATTAGTCTTTTCCTTGTCCCTTATTTAGGTTTTCTAAATTCCTGCTGTGAGTGAGACTATCCGGTATTTTTCTTTTTCTTTCTCGCTTATTTTGCTGAGCATGATCCCTTCCAGCTCCCTCCATGTTGCTGCAAATTCCATTGTGTGTATATACCACATCTTCTTGATCCAGTCATCTGGGTTGTTTCCATAGCTTAGCTATTGTAAATAGTGCTGCTATAAATATAAGGGTGCAGGTGCCCTTTTGAATTAATGTTTCTGTGTCCTTTGGGTAAATATCTAGGAGTGGAATTCCTGGATCACATGGAAGCTCTATCTTTAATAGGTTGAGGAATCTCCACACAGCTTTCCATAGTGGTTGGACCAGTTTGCACTCCCACCAGCAGTGCAGGAGAGTTCCTTTTTCTCCACATCCTCACCAATATTTGTTGTTGCTAGCTTTTTTTAATATGTGCCATTCTCACTGGTGTAAGATGGTAACGCATTGTAGTTTTGATGTGTATTTCCCTGATTACAAGTGATGTTGAGCATTTTTTCATATGCCTGTTGGCCATTTGCATATCCTCTTTGGAGAAGTTTCTTTTTAGCTCTTCTGCCCATTTTTTTAAAAAATATATTTCTTACATCATTTTTCATTTTTGCACAATGTATGCATTTTCATCTTGTTTATATTCCCCATACAATTGCACCCCCCAGTAATAAGGACTTTTATCTCTGAACCAAGAGCCTTGTATCTTTTGCCTTTATCCACAAAAACAGCAATAGGCTGACTTACTGTTTGGAAGTAGGTTAAAACCAACTTCAACTGGACCTGAGTTGAGGGTATGTCAATCTTCCTGGAAACACCAACTAGGGAGTTGTCTCATCTCACTAGAGACATTTAGGCCAGATAACATGCCTAGAAATCATCAGAAGAAAAGTCATCGTGCATGCCAGGAATTTGAATCATGTTACCCTGGGTGATTTTATGAGGGAGGGAAAGGCAAGAGGAGAGAAAGAGGAGCAGAGGAGGTGGAAGAGAGAGGACAGGGGAGGTGGAAGGAAAGAAAAGAGGGGAAAGAAATAATAAAAGGTAAACAAAAATAAAAACTGAGGAACACGGATATTTTTGAGGCAAGAAGACACAAAAAGTGACCAAAAATTATGTAAATATTTTCCTACTCAGTCTTTGTATCTTGGTAGCTATTGTTTTTGACTCCTTCCTCCACCTTCTCCAGCTTCTAATTGGTTAATTCCAGTTAATCTTTGAATCACACTTTGTTCCAACCCCATACCTCCTTCCATTCTTAGCTGACATTCTAGTTTAGACTCTAAATTTATCACTTAATTCTTTGCAATAACCTTCCAATTGGTATCTCTGCTTCTGTTCTATCAATGACAATCCACCTACATAGTACTTCCAGGTAAATTTTCTTAAAATTTCACTTGGATTCATTCACTCTACCTGGTTAGAATTAGTCTGTGGTTCCCTAGTATGTCTGGGGTTCTTTTTATATTTACTGACCCTTATTCTTATCGCAGAACAGGATTTGACATCTTGACTAACAAAATTTACAAGAGAGAAGCTAAAGGATCAGGGGAAGGAGAAAAATGAAAAGGACACACATGTTGTGAAGAGCTGTCTTTGTGAGGTATAAGTCTGTCAGGGTTAAGCAAGCTATGACCTCCAGTCCAAATCCAGCCTGCCATCTCTTATTATAAATAAAGTTTTATTGAAGCACAGCCACATCCATTACTTGCATATTGTCTATCATCTTTGTGCTCAACTGCAGAGATGAGTAGTTGTGACAAAGACTATTTGGCCTATAAAGCCCAAAATATTTACTATCTGGCTCTCTATATAAAACTTTTGCCAACCCCTGGTTTAGTTACAGCTACAATGTGAGAGAATTTTAAGGAATGTAGAAAAGGATTTTTTAAGAAGAGAGGATAAGGATTACCAACTGGATAGATCCTTGTGCACAGCCTTTGAAAGATTCCAGTAGAGATATGAATTACTTTTAATGCTGCATTGATTCTCTATGTCTTCTGAGACTGAGACACAAGGCAATTTCAATTAAAGCCCCCTCATGTGTTGATCCCTTCAAATCTGTGAATGCACTATTAATCTCTCTCCTGAAATTTCTCCTAACATTACTAAATCTACCTGATTCCTTTAAATTCCTTCTTTCAAATTCCACTTCAAGTTTATCTTCTTGATAAGCTCTCCCTGAATTTCATCAAACACAGTAAGTTTATCTCATGTGCCCTAGCTGCATTAAATCAGTATGTCCCCATTCAACCTTACATACTTTTCATGGTATGGGGCTATCTCGCTTACAGCCAGCAGCTTATTGAAGTCAAGCACTGTCTTTTTATTCCCCAGAGCTTCTGGCAAAGAAATTTGCATAAAATTGTGTTAAATTTGCTCATAGAGAAATCCTTTGCCTAAACATTTGCACATAGCAATGTTTGTGTCAATTTTTAAGCAGCTGGAATTACGTAAAATTCCAAACCTTGTAAAGAGAGGATGAGGGGACAGCACTCTAATACATGACCCCTCCTTGACTGCTAAGCTTGATTTGTTTCTCCGCTCCTTAAGCCCTTTCTGAACTTTACCTCCTAAAGCCCCTGTGTAAAGGAGGGGGGAAAAAGAGTTTCTTAGACAGGACAGTGCTGTGACAGTGGGTATCTATTACCTATTAGAGAAGTCCGTGATCATGTTGAAAGTGTGGGCTAAAGTCCTAATCTTTTTATTTTAGGGCACATATTTCCTATAATTGATCCACATAATTATTTTTAATTGAAATTTTTATGGAAGTGTAATATGTAAGCAACTCCGAGATCAAGAAAAAGGGCATAATTCATGCATAAAAATTCATATCAAGGTGTCTTTCAGTTTTTAGCGCCCCTAGTCACTCTGAGGCAATTGCTATGATGACTTGCAATTGCATTGACTAATTTTTGCCAGGCTTTCTACTTTATATAAATGGAATCATAGAGTTTGCAGTTTTGGAACTGATTTATTTTGGTTTGAGAGATTCATCCACAGCATTGTGTGCAGTTGTATGCTATTTCTTCCCATTTGTTTTTACAATGCATAAACCATTATATGTTTATATAATGGAATACTGTCTGTTTCATTTTCATCAATATTTATATTGGAATTCTCAAGAACTCAGCTGTTGTAGAAAATGGACCAAGATGCCAATAGAAATTAAGAAGAAAATCCCATTCACAATTGCACCAAAAAGTATGAAAGACCTGGTTAAACATAACTAAGGAGGTGAAGGATCTATACAGTGAAAATTATGACACTATCAAAGGAAATATGACACAAAGAAATGGAAAAATATCCCATGTTCCTGGACTGAAAGAATTAACAGTTAAAGCCAATTTACAGATCCAATGCAATACCTCTCAAAATTCCAGTGACATTTTTCAAGGAAATAAAACAAATAATTGTAACAGTTGTATGGACCTACAAAAGTTACTGAATAGCCAAAGTAATCCCAAGAGAAAAGAAATATGGAGTTACCACAATCCCTGACTTCAAACTACACTACCCAGCAATAGTAATTAAAATAGTACGGTATTGGGGGAACAAGAGAAACACAGACCAATGGAACAGAGACCTCATCTATAAACCCACACAATCTGGACAGCAAATCTTTGACAAAGAAGTCATGACCATAAAATGGAGAAAGAAAAGCCTCTTTAACAAAGTGTTGAGAAACTTGGACAGCCACATGCAATAACATGAAACTAGATCATTATTTAACTCCACACACCAAAGTTAATTCAAACTGCATAAAATCAGAAAAAAAGTTCAGGCTCAAATCACACCCCTTTTCTGCCTTTTAGCAGAAACATGGATACCATAACATCTCCAGTATAACATGAATGGTTCCCAAGACTAAAGCAGTTCAACTATTTAAAGTGAGATAAAAATGATGTGCTGGCATAGGGTGAACAAATACAGAGATTGATTCATAAAAATTATCGGGAAAAGTGCATTTGACTTGCAATTTCAGAAAATAAAAAACTCAGCCGAGATGTTAATGCATATTTGTCCTTTTTTTTCTTCCATGGTGTAGCAGATTGTATTTTCCAAAGATATCTCAGCCCACAGTCTTCTTATAATGTGACAATGGCATTCTTTCTGTTGAGTGGTAGGGACAGTGTTCCCTCACTTTGCACTTCAGTTGACCTTTATTATTGTCTTAGCCAACAGAATACAGTGGAAGTTGTCGGCTAAATCCAGGGAACTCCAGAACCATAAGATATAATAATATAGAATTCAAATTTAGTAAGTTTCATTATGCAGGACTACAAAGCATGGTTTTCTCTGTGACTTTACATTTTCCTTGGTCTTCAATTTTTATTCAGAATTTTTACTGTGATTTGTTCTTTTTGCAGGTCACCTCAAATCCCATGTAGATAAGAGTTTAAATACTACATAATTGCATTTTTAAAGTGTTCTTTTATCTAACTCAGTGATAGAGCAATTATGCTAGTGATAAGGATTAAAAATGTTTCACCATTTTAAAGTTTTTTTCTAATTAAAAGTAAATAGTTCTTCAAAAGACATTCATTGGCCCTTTCATTGTATCACATATTAGACAAGGTACCAACCATATAAAAACACAGTCCCAGCTTACAAAGGAGCTCCTGAAATAGTGACTATCACTATAAAACACCTACATATGCAAAATACAGGGCCTCTGTGGAAGAATCTTTCAATGACTTCAATGATGGAAGAGTATTTAAAACAACACAAAGCAAAAATCAAATGACCTAAATTTTTTAAAAAGTGGATGGAAAATATTACACAGTAATTTTACAGTATGTCCATTCATCCACGAATTCAATGTAGCATAACATAGTCTCTCCATGTTCACAAAGTGTTACCATATGCATAAATCTTATAAAAATGAAATTATATTTAATGAAAAGATCAGGAGATACTGCATGATAGATGTTAGTTTTTTAAGTACATTAGTCATTACTTTTTCAAGTATAACTATAATTATTTTAAACAGTTCTTCTAAATTTGACTGCAACTCAAGTAGTAACATCCATCCGTTTCAAGGAAAGGTACTTGAAGGCAGGAACCATCAACTTGTTGGCCACACAGTGGCCACAGTGTGCACTAAGTAAGAATATTCAGTATCTGCCACACAGTGTGCACTAAGTAAGAATATTTAAATAGTAAGCTGGAAATAAATATTTAAGAGAATGGATTAAAGATACAGCTTCATTCAACAAACGCTTCTGAATACGTGGTATAAACAGCTCAGTATTGGGTGTTACAGAGAACCACTAAAAAAGTAGAAGATACTGTCTTTATCTACAGTTAGATACTCAGTATTAGTTGCAATTTATAAACCTTTAAAATAAAATATAAATCCTTGAAAACCTATATTGCGAATAAGAAAAAAATTATTTACCATTAAATTCTGGCTATGCAACAAATAAAATAAAACCCAGCATATACAGCAATTATTTTCATAAGCTCAGGAGACAGGAGAAAGTTGAAATTTAAATTTCATAATCTGGAACTAATTTTTAGAATGGTAGTAAGTTCACAATGCAGAAAATTATGTTTTGGACAATATATTCAGTGATATATGGGCTGGTGAAAATCTAGCCAGGCTTTTCTGCATGAAATGGATATAAGCAAGGAGTGACAAGGAAGAAAAATCAACTGACTTGAGAATCAGTGGTAACATGTCTGTTTTACTTTATCATTTGAGTAGGATTAAAACTCTGGTTAAAAAAAACTTCCAATTTTAGAGTTCATCTTCTGAATCTTGATCATAAATTTTCTGAGGTTGTCTCTTAATATTGATTACCAGATCAATGGTTAAAATTTTTGTCAAACACTGAATAACTGAGGTTAATAACTGGTATTTACCAGCTACTGATTCCAAACCTGTGTGATTGCTGACCATGGGTTGATTGGTTTGCAGTGCATGGACAGCTCTGACATATATTTGTGGAAAGCTGTTATTTCCTTTCTTAGACTTGTAGAGGATTCTGGGAATGCTTAAGAGTGCATTAGCTATCATCATACTAACAACCATGGTTTCTTCTGATTGCTGGCAGCTTTTGGCATAGTTGGCAAGATAGTAATGTAACAAGATCTCAAAATTACCACCCACTGGCAAAACACAACCTGCCGGTATAGAAGAGAAGCAGTAACTCTGGAAAGAACACGTATCCAGTGACTCATCTCTCACTGGTAACATGCTCCCCTTGATAGCAGTTTCTGTGACCTTCAAATTTTCATAAGAAATTTCAATTCTAGTGCCTTCTGTTGTTGAACTAGCAAGAGAATTACTCTCAACTGGTTCAGGGTCATCAATTACCCTGGTTTTTTTTTGAGAGAAACACCTCACTTTTTCATCAGTCTGGTGAGTATCTGTTGATATCACTTTTGGGGTTGAACAAGGAGTGTATGTTTTTAATTCTATGCTTGGAACTACCAAATCTGAATATACTTTTAAATATGTTTCCATTTTTGCCTGTTCATTTTTGTTCTTTACAATCACACCTTGATCTGGCCTTTGTACCAAGTCATTAAACGTTTCTAGTAGTTGATCACTTTTTCTACTATCCTTATAAGTAAAAGGACCTGATATATAATTTTGGTCACCAGCTGGTGTCACATAGTTTAGATCAAGGCCTTTAAATAACTGCCGAAGCATTTTAAAAGCTCCATGTAAAGCATCCTTATGTTGTTCAACAAGACCCTGCACTAGTCCACAAAGAACTACACAGTGTGGTATAAATGAACATGTGCTAATCAGACCAAGATGAACATACCTTTTAGATCGAAGGACAAGGGGCTTACAAAATTTCACCAACGCACAGTTAGAGATTTCAGACTGTAAAGAGGTCTGTGGTGATATAAAGGGAGAAAGACCAATGATCCTTTGGATTAGAGAAATTTCTTCAGCCGATAAACATTCCACCACTGATATGCCATTCAATCCTGCATAATAAATAACTAAGTCTGGTTGTTTCACACTAGATAGGAGCAATTTTATATTCTGCTTCTGTAAATGTTTCATTATTGCTTTTGTCCTTTCTGTAATCCACAATTGAGATGTCTGAAACTGAGCTTCTGAATTTAGAATAAATTCTGATCCAGAAGATGAAAAAAGAGGTTGAATGGTATCTGTTACTATCACTAGGCTCATTTCACCATCTGCTGGACAGTACACAGAAAAATCTCTGTGAAGCACAAGTCCGTCTATGATCCTGGAATCTGAAACAGGAAGGCCAGTAACACCAATGTTCAACTCTACAAAACAGTCATCCACTAACTCAAATACTTCTTCAAACCCCCTCTCACAAGCCATACACTTGAAAAAGTAGTCACTCATCAATTGTGAAATAAAGTTTTGATTATTTCTTCCTACTCTTCCACAAAAGTATGCATCTAAGAGCAAGTTTAAAGAGCTCCTACACAATGTTTTCTCTTTAGTGGATGAAGGAAAAACAGACAAAAAGTGTTTACTTAAGTACTGGTCCATAATGCAATCTAATATTTGTGTCTGAAAGGTTAGAAAAGCTTGGGAAATGAGTTTCCACTGACAACAATTTTTCCAATATCTTCCATGGGTTTGAATATTTTTGGAAATCAAAGAATCCTTCTCTTTGTCTGTGACTGCATGAAGTCCTCTGAGCAAATGGCAGAGAAAGATAATGTATGTTTTAGCACCATCTCCTGTTTTTCGTAGATGACTGGAAACACATGCCACTATCATCCTGTACAAAAAAAAAAAGAAAGTAACTCAGATTTTCAGTGGGTTGCCTTTGTACATCTGGATCATGTTGAAAATGTCTTCACAGCTATAGACATAAATGGAAAATAGATTCCCTCTGATTTCTCCTTAGTTTTCCCTTTTTCAAGTTACTTTGTTTTATTTCAATATTCTAGGGTGGGGTGCAGCAGAGAGAACAAGAACAGTTTTTCCAGGAATAGCCTCAAGGGTCAAAAAACCAGGCAAACAGTCTGGGATACCCGGCTATGGACTGCAGCGTGGATCGTGAATACCTGGCTATGGGATGCTCTAATGGGCTGGAGTGGGGGGATGCAGGTCCTAGGCGAAGGGAAGCCCTAATGGGCTGGAGGGCGGGTCGCGGGTACCTCGCTATGGGATGCTCTAAATGTAGCGCCCCCAAGAGGCGGCCTCCATCTCGACTGAGCAGCACCTCGCCGGTGGGCTTCGTACACAAGACCTGACGCCCGTCGGGCCCCAAGGACCCGCTCACGATGGTTTCCAGCACCTCCGCCACCTGCAAGGCCGCTTTCAAAGACCCCGCAACAGCCATACCCCAGGGTTCAGGCGGCTTCGGGCGCCCGTTGGCGGAACCCTAGGACCGCGGGTCGGGGGCGCGTCGGGCACGGCTAGGACGGAAGGGGCGGGGAGGAAACCGGAAGTCCCGGCCGCTCGACTTCTCCATTGGGTGTGGGGGCTGCTTTTCCACTCGCTCAGCGGAACAGCCCCGCGGTTCTGCCAGTTGGGGGCAGCAGGGGGTGCCCGAGAGCCGGCCAGATAGGAAAGCGGCCTGGGCTTCCGGGAGTTGTCTCCGGAGCGGAAGCCCCGAGTCCTGCCCGATTCCCAGCGGTGAATTCATTTCCCTTCAGTGGTTTCGTCCTCCGTCTCCCAGGAAACTGCAAACCGAGGGCGGCACGAAACCTCTCGTTGGATCGGGCGTCAGTGACGGGATGCAGGACACGTGGGAAGGCCTGGCTACCGTCGCAGGCTGCACGCTTTCTGCTTTCCGCAGGGGCTTTGGCACTTATTTTCTGGGCTCAAGTTATCACTGAAACCCTGGCCACGTCGGTTTTTTCCTAGCTAGCGGGTAGGTGTGAAGACTTAACCACACTGGTAATGAATAGCATGCTTTAAAGAGGCTATTAAAGCATCAGATTATGCTTTAATCCGTGGCCTCAGATCATGGGATATGATCCAGTGTCAGGAAAAAACAGGCAGAGGACATACTTGTTTCATATTATTTAAACTCTCTCTCTTGATGAAATGGTAGCTCTGCTATTTAATCAGTGACATTCAGTAAGCTCTTTTGTCTGCACCTTTCTCATCTTTAAATAAAAGTGAGTAGGTCTGCGAAAGAAAAATCTTTAATATAAAGTTCTGGGGAGAGTAAGAATCTTTACAAAGCATCGTTTTTTGGCATGGTGGCTGGCATCTACAAAACATTCTTAAATATAAAACACCCACCACGTTACTGTGACCTGACATGGTTGTCCACTACTTACTTCCACAAGAAAGTAGTATTTTGGAAGGTGCCAGAGCACAATACAGGCTACCTCCTAGTGTGTGGTCATTGAGAAAATTATCTTTGTAGATGTCTCATTGAGGTGGAACAGTAAAAAGTTGCTTTTCTTACCCTTTAACCTTATGCATAGGACAGGAGAAACCTGTAAGCTCCCCACTCTACAGCCCTCCAATTAATAAGACAGAACCAAGTAACTGTTAGCTTGAAGAAAATGGACATAGAATGGGAGGGGCACAGGGAAAAGGATAATGAAGGAAAAGAGGAAAACCAGAGAGGTATGACTTCTTATATAACTCTTGTTAACTCAGTATGACTAGTAGGTGATTTGAAGGGAAAAACTTTTTCATATGGGGTTGGTATATATGCTTGTTTAATAGTTCTTCGTTGTTGAATCAATATAGATTCATGCAGTGGGTTATTCCAAACATTTAAAAGTGAAGTGCTGTATTCAGTTCCATTTTACTGTACATTAGAAAAAGAATGGATATTGACGTCAGACATGGATACAAACTTGTGTTTACTATCAGTCTTACTATATACCTTTTGCAATCACCTTGTCTGAGCTTCAGTCTTCATCCATAAAAATCTAGCTAACTCCCACTTATCTTAAGGTTATTATGAGTTTTCAAGAGTGAATATAAAGCACCAAATATACCAGAGGGGTGCCAACTGTTAAATCCCTTCCAAGTCCTTTACCATACTTCACAACTAACTACCACCACAAAATAAAAATCAGGAATAAGTAATTTGGTCACCATATGTTCTATTCAAAATCATTTGACCACAGAGTCTGTTCTTTTTAAAATTTTATTTAGAATGCCTACTTGTAGAAGTTAGCATAATTTTACAGATTAGAAAAATTCAATGCTTTTGTCTCTGCAAACATTTATAGTAGGTTAGGAATAATAGATTATAAATGTAATACATTACAAAACAATAGCCTATAACTATCTGTACATTTACTACGCACCTTAAAGAAAAGAATTTGACAGTGTGCTATACTTACACTGCAGATAACATACTTTTATTCTATTATACAAAACTGACCAGTGGTAGTGTTTGAATTTATAAATGGCCATTAAACAAGATATTTAATTTAGATGTATATTTAGCATGCTAAAAAGTGAAAACATTTTTCAACTGAAGTTCTGTGGCTCATTAGTTCAAATGTTTTGTGGCATTTTTCTTTAAGTAAATTTCAGTATTGTAATACTAAAATAATTTTACATGATAAATGCAGAAAGATAAAATTTTCTCAGTATTTTAGAAAGTATATTCACATTCATTTTGTCATGGGTTTCTTGTGGCTCTCCTAAATATGTCAGTCATAGTAAGGAGACACTGGTCCTATACAATTTAACAGTCCATCTTCAATTAAAAACTGTAACAAAACAGTATGTTAAGAGTAACAAAAGGTAAACTGAATATATTAAGTTCACACTATAGGTAAACAAAATGAAAACAAATTACGTAATAGTGGCAGGTTATACATTTTAAAGTCTTCTTTTTCCTCGTAGTCAAATAAGATAGAAGTTGAAATGTAAACTTAATTATTTGAGTTTCCTCCCATTGGTTCAAACTGGAAAATCTGGTGTAAATGTAACTTTAGTATCTTATTTCTGTACATTTAACATAATTCAAAATAATCCATAGCTTCATGTATGGTTCATCAAAAATGCCAACTCCAACAAAAAAGCCAAAAATATATTCAACTGCTCACTAGAAATGATAGCCACTGGAAAAAATGGAGTTTATACATTTGTTCTTAAATATTTAAGATAGTCTTCAAAAAGTTAAAACTGCTTTCCACAGAATTTTGTGTGTATATGGCACAAGTTGACACCCAAAAACAGTGTGAATTCCATAGAAAAGGCACTGTTTACAATACTTAGAATAATCTGACAAGTCTACATCAATGATAGTCTGAGTGAAGAATATACTTGAAATAGGTAAATAGACAAACCCTTATAAAAGTATTACTGTTTAAATATACTATAACTATATAAAAAGAAATAAAGTGACACAGAAAAATGACCCTTTTACGACAATTAAGCCTATAAACACTTTGAATCATATAGTTCTGTAACACAAAAATGACAAAAAGTATTTTCTTAAAGGCACAAATGCGTGAATACTAAATGAGGGTTCTATTTTAGAAGGCCAACTTTTTCAATGGAATGGTGACAAAGATTACACTGTACCTTTATAAGTGATACAAAAAAAGTACTGAAATGAATTACAAATAAAATATCTATTGCTGAAACATTTTTTTCACATGTCCTATTTGTTTTTTTCTTGGGCCAGCTACATCTCATTAAAGGGTGTATAAATGAAGGCATTGTACATTTAACAACTAAAGCAGAAGTGCACATGACAGTAATTATTTGAATTTTCATGTGAAAAAATAAACTTTTGATCAAATGAAAAATTCGTAAGTTCTTAAATTCTTAAAGGTCGTAAGGTCTTAAATCCTAGAAAAACCATTATGAAACTTTCAGACAACTGGGAAGTGTAAATCACAATTTTTATGAATCCACGTGGGAAGGAAGATTAATCTCAGGTAGAGAACATTCAAAGTCAATTTTACATGTATGGCTAAATACAAAGTTTAATTATGTGTTTAAAGAACTCACTACTTAGTCTAGTGTAAGCACTGATCTAAAATTAAGCCACCAATTCCTGAGTTTTGTGTTCAGTTCACAGAAAGGATCTCACACAACTGAAAGCACAAGAGGGCTGTTAGAGTAGATATCTGCTCCTAGGATGGAAGAAACTATCATGAGTAACCCTGCTTAAGTAGTTTTTGACTCCTTGGATAATAAGAACCCTATAGAGAACATTTTAAAATAAAGAAAATGACCACCTTTCCAGTCTTAGAAGATACCCATGCAAATAAACACTAGTTTAGACCAAAGGAAATAACAAAAGTAGGTAAGACCAAAACCTCAAAGGGGTTTGACTATCAAAAATTTTTTAAGTTTTCAATATTTAATGATGGAATGGTTTTTGTGATTAGCCAATCTAGTTCTTTGTAATATAAGTTAATACTAATTTGAACCATAAAAAAGATCAAATTGTACAGTATTTACAAATGTATCAATGAATAGGCAGTTGAGCATAAAATTGACAACAGAAAGTACAAAAATTATAAGTATGAAACAAACAAAAAACCCATCTATTGTAACGTAGTCATTATTATATCTGTATTTATACTGGGTGTAAGTACACCTTATTTATGTTTTCATCAATTTAAAAATTATTTTCACACATATGGGATACAGCACTGGCTTGCCAAAAGGACTCCTAAAAACCTATGGTTATTTAAAATAGCTATATTGGTTAGGGAGGGAAAAAGTCAGGCTCTTTTTAAATCACTTGCAATTTTCATAATTTAGCAATCATTCCTTGATTTTATATTTATCATGATGTAAATAGCTGATTATAACTACTAGCATCTCACAGTTACCTTTTATTCAAAGGCAAATATAGCCAGAGCAATTATTTTCTCTAACCTTTATTTTCCTTAATAACCATTTCAGGATTCTATGCTATATTTTAGGAACATGTTCCTAAGCTTACCTACATTTGCAGACCCTGCTTTAGAGGACTATAAATATTTATGTAAAAATGTAAGTTAAAATACTAAGCTGAAAAACAAAACTTAGGGAAAAGTTTGCCTGAGCCTGAACAAAAAGAATCTTCAAGAACCATAGTTTTGCCACAGAATGAAGTTACTAAGAACAAATGAGGACAATCAAGAATTGAACTTCAGAACTTGATGCTTTTCTTTGATGCTCAACTTATTGCACATTTTAAAGAAACGATTTAATGTACACATAAATGCCACCACACAAAATGTCTTATTGCCTTTCTCTTTTTTGACTTTTAGAGTAAAACATTGGTTTTTTTTTTTTTTCATTCTACATATTCACTGAACACATTAGGGTCTAAATGAATACTAAAATAAGCTTTCATTATGAAAAGAATTACCAGCATTTCATATAACATCTCTAGAATTTGGACCAGCTGACTTAAAAGAAATAAGGTAAAAGGATAGCAATCAATTTTGACAACACTTTTTCAGCAAGTGCTTCTGACGGTAATATACAGAAAGATATAATCAATAGATCAAGTAGCTGCATACCAGTTTTTTATATTGATATACACATACATACATATATACTTGTATCTATAAATATTAAATTCTAGGGATTAAAAAAATCTTGTGTAAACTTTTTAAAAAGTTATAGGCCAACTGTATCCCCCAACATTGTCAATTGTGATCAGGCTTTTTTCTTGCTATTTCTAAGACAACTGAGCTGGATGCTTTGGAAATGATTTTTTTAACAGTTCAGTTACTGAACTATTAAAATGTCTATTATCCCATCATTTCCCATTCTGTAACTCCTTACTGATAAAATTTTTGTGCCTGTTTTATGAAGACAATAGATTACCATACATGTATTTATAATATTGATAGAATTTTTGTTATTAACATTTTAATACTAGGTCTCAAAACATACTATAAAATAGACTACTGTCAGGTATGCATAAGACACAATTGTGTATATACATGTGGATTTATTATACTCACATGTAGACACAATCTCACAAAAGCTAGAAAGTTTCTGGCACTTAACATACAGCTCACTTTAATAATCAAATAGAATAGCTCTTGTTTAAGGTTAAGGGTAAAAGGTATGAAAGGTCAATACCTCTACATTTATCTCTAAGTTTTTTTTTGTTTTAGAAATATGGTGATGCTTTAAAGACCAAACCAACTTGAACATTGGTCCCAGGCCAAATCTGATTATTCCAGTTCATTGAGTCTACTGGAAAGAACTTCTACTTAAACATGAAGTTTATTATGACTTGAAGCAAAATCAGGAGGAAAATGATGAAGTAGTCTTTTTGTTGCAGAAAATAATCCGTGGCAGGTGTACTTGAAACGAGATGATTTCGAAGAGTCATAATATTTCTACAAAAATAAGCAACAGTTTTTTTTTTTAATTATTTGTGAAAATGTTACCAGAGAACTCACAACTTTATATATGGTCACAGAGCACTTAATTACATTATCTAAACTAGTTCAATCAATTTCTACCATTTGAACAGGGAGCTGATTATGCTATGTGGTGCAATTATTAGCTCTTGTCTGAATCCAACTCTATCATACCAAAGGTATTAATGATACACATCCAACATAATTACTAAAGTCTGAAGATGTAGAAAGATACCTATTATCTTAATGGTTTTGAAATGAAAATTTTGCTTCTTAGTCAACTAAGATTCTTTCATCTTTTCTTTACAGAAATAGAGGTGGAGTTGGAAAAAAAATCTAAATTCCCCAGGAAAAAAATGATTACTACAACAGAATGCTCTGTAGGCATTTCATTTGCTAGCCAAAATAAAATGTTAATTTAATCATGAAATAAACTTACATTATCCTCATGCCACCCTACATGCTTTTGGCTAAAAAGAGTTGATTAGTGATTTTTATTTTTCTGACCTTTCCTATTAAAGTGTTTTATCAGTATAGGGTTCTTTCTCTTTTCTTTAGGATGCAAACAAGTAGGCTCACTGATTTTATAAATATAATTAAATTAAAGATGGAAGCACTCTATATAATGATTGATAACACCAAGATGTTCTGAAGGAGCTCAGAGTCCTAATGGGGCAGACACAAATATACAATAACAACTCTGTAGCGTCTTGAGTAAGTGTTCAAAAGGAGTATGTGCAGAGAGCTATACAAGTTGAGCAGAAGGATAAAAGAACTCTAGAAGGCAAAGGTGAGTGATTAAAAATGTTAACGAAAAGGGTGGCACTTGAGTTTTACCCTGAAAGATAAACAGGGATTTCTTGATGGGCAAGGTGGGAGAAAAGGCAACAAAAGAAGTGTATTCAGTGTGGGCAAAGATCCAAAGAGGGGCCTCCCTGGTGGCGCAAGGGTTAAGATGCAACCTATGAAGCTACCCACAGCCACTGCAGCATAAGTTCGATTCCCGGCCAGTCAGGGAGCTACCCATATGGCACAGGAGACCTCTTCTGAGGTCTCCTGCTGCTCCCCTCAGCAGTGTACTTTGGTCAGTCTTCCTGTTCTGTTCCCCACTCTGTCTCTGGTGAATCCTCTCACCCTCTGCACCTCTGGCCTGTGCCCCAGCTCTTGTATGCATAAATAAATGAATCTTTAAAAAAAAAAAAAAAGATCCAAAGAGAGCACAGTATATATTCTGGATTTGCAGAAACCACCCCACTTCTACATGTAAAATAACTCTATTCCTAGTATAACTCAGAAGTTAAGAGATATTTCAACTCTACCCTCACAGCTAAGGAAAGCCCCTTCCCAATATTTTAGTGCTGAAAGAATTTCAAGTCTCAGTCTATCTCAGATGACAGCTGTCTAAGTTCTACGTTAGCTTAGCAACATTAGCAATACTATAAAAAGGAAAAGTCTGCACATGATTTCCTACCTAAAAGGATTCTTAACTACTCTTCTGGACTTGAATAGTCATCCTTAGTATATATTACCTTTTAATTTCTTCCTGTGTTTGTTTTATAGATTCGATTGAATTTTGAATGTCTCCCAGTTCTATACCTTTCTTTCTTCTTGTACTTGGTTTTACTGATTGAGCTAAAAAAGACATTTAGAAAGAAGTTAATGAAAATACTGAATGTACTAAACTATAAACAAATCACACCTTAGCTTAATGTCTCTAGTGTAATAATTTTCCAAAGCATTTTTTGTGACTTAAAGATTAATATAATACTAATACTCCGCATTTTTGCAATTTCAAACATATTTCAAAACTAGAACAATACAGATATACTTAAAGTAACCACAAATTAGTTAAATTTTGTATAGCAGTTACACTTTTTTAAGTACTTTTTAAAAGTATTTTTTTAAGTACTCAATAAATTTTAGTTAATACATTATAGGTAATATAGTGAAATGGAGACGAGAGTGAATTAAGGAGCCAAAATATCCATATATATATATAAGGCAGGGTGGGAGAACTTGGGTAGGTTAACCTGTCTGTGGGGTGGGTTAATCTGTCTGTGTCTCAATTTCTTTTTCTGTAGAAAGGGAACAAAACAAAGTACACCGGTACTATGTTATGCCTGCTTTTAAACCTTAATTCACTTTATTCCTTTTCTACTTCATTAACTCTACCCCACCCACATTCTTCAACCCTAGACTGCTGTCATCCAATAGAAATCCTTAAGCAAGATTCTTCTAAGAACTGTCCTCAAACTGAATTCAGTTGCCCCATCTATATAAATTCTTTATTATTTGTCATCTTCTAATTTTCTGGCATTTATCATTAATTCCCCTTTACTATTATCTGAGCTCCTGTGAGCTTAGTAGAAACTATGGCTTCAAGTTTTTTCATTTTCTCATAAGGACTAAGACATCACCTTAATCCTTTTTTGATTAAATCTCAATGTATTTCAAGATAGTTTACATATTCTCTGGCTTGAATAAGAGTGGCACTAATTTAGTCCATAATTCTCATAATTATATTTTTACTAATTTGTGACTTTAAACATTATAATAATTCAGAGAATGGAAAACTTTTTGAAGCATGGAACTGAGCTCAAAGCCCAAAAAATGCTTCCTAAATTGAATCTAGGAAATCATTAAATAAGAAGGCATAAGAGCTGGTGCTGCAATATGGCTCTTAACCTGAGTGCTTCCCCAGTTTTCATTTCCCTTTACATATGGCCTGGTCTTGAAACTTACCTATAGTCTAAAATACCTTCTTTTGCACCCTACTCTTGCCTCCACCAATACTCTTATACGTCTTCTTAAATTAATATGAAAAAACATTTTTATGTATCATACATAGTGTAGTAATATTTTTTAACAAAATCAGACTTACAGTGAACAGTCTGCAGTAAATATTTTTACCTTCACTTCCAGAGGAGTCCTGGATATCAGGTTCTGGGGAGGAATAGCCTTTTGCCACCTTCTTCTGTTGCCTAGTTGGCTTATGTTTCATTTTGGGGACATTAACCTGAAAAAAAAAAAAATCACACTATCATGTTAATTTGCATAATTAAAAAATTAATGATAAATGTAGAACTGTCAAAACTACCTATTCATGGTTCATAATATTTAGATATAAAAACAGGGCCTCCCCGGTGTGCAGCGGGTTGAGCGCAGCGCTATGAAGCTGTCCACAGCTGTGAAGCTGTCCTCTCTAGCGCTGGTTTGATTCCCAGCTGGCCAGGGAGATTCCCACATGGCGCGCCCGCTGCTCCTCTCAGCAGTGTATTTCAGTTCCTTCTGCCTGTTCTGCTCCCTGCTCTTTCTCTGGTGAATTCTCTCACCTGCCCGTGCCTCTGGTACCCCAGTGCTTGTATAAATAAATAAATCTTAAAAAAAAAAAACAACAAAGATGACAATAGTTTAAAACCTAATAAACAAGATGTGATATGCAACCAAATTATTTTAATTTTAATAACATTAGCTTCACAAACACCTAAAAAGTATAAAACTAAACAATGCAGAGTTCTCACTCACTCTTAACCCCTACTTATCCAATTTCTCTCACATTAAAAAGCACTTACTTCTAGTACTTTGTAGATCCTTTAAGAGACATTTTCATGCATACACAAATATAAATATAGCCCCACCAACTTTCTAACTGCACCAGTTAGCACTAGTTAAATGTTAAATAACCGTGTTTTAAAATCATAATATTATTTCCAACAAGAAATGGTACTGGCTTTCCAATATATTTATTTATTTTTAATAATGTATGGATAATATAAAAACATAATGGAAATGAAATTTTTCAGAGCACTACTTGACTTACCAAAAGTATCTGTGTGCATATATAAGATTCAAAATTATATTAAACCATTAACTAAGACTAAATTTTCCTTAGAATATATAAACTGTAGACTATCCTACTACTAGGCTGGCAATTTTGGTAGTTAATACCAAATAAAAAAGTGCAAACACAAGAGAAAAAAACATTATCAGAAAGGAAAGATAATTAATATGCTTAGCAAAACAGGGAACCCAGTAGTCACAAATCTTTAAAACTCTGTTCTTTACTGTTAACTGTTCTAAACAAATTTCCCACAGTTATCTGATTCACTGCAGAATTTTGCAAAATCTTATACATGTGCTTAAAATTAAAACTTCTATAATTTATTATAGAAAATAAATGAATAGGCAGGCCTTGGATTCAGCTTACGCTATGCCCTCCTACTTCAAGTCAGAGAAACTTGAAGGGAAATTTTATAACATTTACAATCCAAGTCCACATTCTTAGAGTAGGTTCAAACTGAAGATTGGTGTGAAGGTTTTTAATATCACAAAGGTGTTAGCAATATATCAGCACACAAAGATCTATTGTGATTAATGAACTACTTTTAGGAGGAAATACAAATGTTCTGTTTCATCATTCTAGTTTTATTACAAGAAGAAACAAAACTAAAATTTTGAATTTCTAAATTATGATAATATGGAATCATACAATATTAGTTCTTTTGTGTTTCACTTAGTATATAATATAGTCTAAGCTCATTCAGGTCATGACATGCAGCAAAATTTCATTTCTCTTTTACTGCTGAAAGATATTCCACAGCAAGTATATACTATGTTTTGTTTATCCATCTATTGACGGACAATTGAATTGTTTTTCCTTTAGACTATTATGAATAATACAGAAAGACCATTTGTGTACAGGTATCTATTTGAGTGCTTATTTTCAATTCTTTTGTAGTGGAATTGCTGGACCATGTGGCAATTCTATTTTTAACTTTCAGAGGAACAACAAAATTGTCTTCCACAGCAGCAACACCATTTTATATTCCCACAAGGAATACAGTAAACTTCCTCAGCTTTTGTTTATCTTGGAATTTCTTAATTTCGTCCCCATTTTTGAAGGATAGATTGTATATAGGACAATTCTTTTCTTCTAGCACTTTAAACATGTCATATCTCATACCTTCTAACCTCTATGGTTTCTCATAAGAAGCTGGTTATTTTTTTTTAATCTTTTTTTTTCTTTAAAGATTTATTTATTTATTTATACAAGCACTGGGTATAGTCAGAAGCGCGGGAGGGTGAGAGAATTCACCAGAGCCAGAATGGGGAGCAGAACAGACACACCCACGAAATGCACTGCTGAGGGGAGCAGCGAGCACAGCAGGAGAGGTCTGTCGCGCCATGTGAGACTCTCCCTGTGGCAGGGGATCAAACTGGTGCTGCAGAGGCTGCGGGCAGCTTTGCAGCCCAGTGCTCAACCGTTGCACCACCAGGGGAGGCCCAAGAGAAATTGGTTATTAATCCTACAGAGACTCCCTGCAATATAATTAGTTGCTTCTTTCTTGTTACTTTCAAGATTCTCTTTTTTCCCCTCTTTGTCTTCTGACAGT